CATGGTTGACAGAGGGATCTATTTTGGATGTGTCTATATTTCTTCTGTGAGTGAATTTGTGAAACAGTTGATGGGTGTGCCCCCTATCACTTCTCCCATTCAATTTTTAGTTTGGACTTTGCTTGCATCAAGCTATGTTATGTAATTCTGGCCTCCATCTTTGTCAAATTACTCTGTCATCCACTCCCACACTTATGTACTGTAGTTATATTTTTTTTTTGCTCTTCGGTAATTACTGAAGGCCAAAAGCCTTCGGTAATTACCGAGGGCTTTTGGCCTTCGGTAATTACCGAAGGCTTTTGGCCTTCGGTAATTACCGAGGGCTTTTGCCCTTCGGTAATTACCGAGGGCCAAAAGCCCTCGGTAAATGTTAGCGACAAGAGATTTACCGAGGGCGCTTTGGCCGTCGATAAGCCTTCGGTAATTGCCTTTTACCGACGGCTTTTGGCTGTTTCCGAGGGCTTCTGGCCTTCGGTAATGCCCTTCTTTTTTGTAGGGAATCTAGAACGGAGACAATACATAATTTTTTATCTTAGTTGGATTCAGAACCGAGACAATAGACCATTTTCTGTTTCGGATCTAGAACTGAAACAATAAATACTTTTCTGCCTCAGTTTTTACTACAATTGTTGTCTAAAGTCCATTTTTTTTAAAATAACAGTTCTATTTCTTCAACATTCTTTATCATAGAAGCAACATATTACAGAAAGAGACATGCCTTCATATAATAATGAATAATCCTTTTAGATTTTTCAGAAAATGTCGTTTTCTATTTTTCACGAATTTATTTTGTTTTTTTTCAAACTTTGGAAAAGTATTTAGACTTTGATTTTTGACCTGAAATTTTTTTGTGAGGGGTTTTCGTGATCTTTTAGTCCTTTTAACATTTTTAAGACATTTCGAGTTCGTTTTACCATACTCTCAGTTTTACCTATACCTATTCAACGTAAAATGAAAGAAAAATAGAAGAATTATTGAGGTTGATGGTCGCAAAAATGGAGAACAAAGAGAACAAAACGAAGACAACACAGAAAAAACAAAGAAGAATGAAGAAGAAATATGCAAGAGGCTTTATTACATCGCGAAATTTAACCCTAGAAACAGATGTTATTACCTTGGTTATTTCATTAAATGAAGCAATAAGGGATTCATTGCCTCGATTTTATTAAGAGTCGATGCCTAAAGTCTCCAATTTTGTTTTCAAAAAATAATATTTTTAGTTATTTTATGACTCGATTCATGTCATAATCAAAACATAAAGACTTTATAGCTTCGGTTCTCTAAACAGCAAATGTCATAGACCTAATTAAAAATGAGTCGGTTAAAAAGTCAAATTTTACAAAAGAATTTTACCTCCATATTTTATAAAACCAAAACAATAAACCTGTTTAAACTTTAATTCCCTTTTAACCGAAACATGTATTTTTGTAATAATTATAAAAGTGTCATTTTATGATTCAGTTGAATAAAACCATTACCAAATACACGAGTTGATATCTGTATTTTTTTTACTAGTGGTTTAATTGTTTTAGACAAATATCTACATTAAAGAAAAGTATATAAAAATAAAAGCAACTATATATGTACAACACGACGTTCTTGTCGGTTTTCACCAATTCTGCACGGATTGCAATAGTTTGGGGTTCAAGATCTTTTGTCGTTTCAAGGACAGTTTATTTATTTTTTAAATCAATACTAGCCAGAAGAAATACACTACAATTTATTCTTTTTATTCCTTTTCTATCTGGCATTTCTTTAAATCACAGTGCAAAATGTATAATATTAGTAAAACAACATCATACACTTGTCTTCTTCTATTTTTAATTTAACTTAGGACTAAAATAATATATTTAAGAATTAAATATATCTTAATCTTAAATTTTGATATGATTTGATATTCAATTTAAAAAATAAATAAATATTTTTTTCGTAACATAAATGTGATAATTATTTTTTGTGTTAATAGATATTTCAAATTGACACATTCAAATATTAATATTTCGAAAAAAAAAAATTTACAAAATGAACTAAAATGTGTATTTTCCACACGTGTGAACTTTTATCTTTCTCCTACACGTCCTTACTTGCATGTGAACTCCTTAATCACCAAACACACTAATCTAACTTTACTATCGTTGTTTCAGTGGATCTGGCAACAAAATGGGGTGAAAATCACCTAACCCCGATGAAGCTATGCCACCGGTTACGTGAATCACAGTCAAATTCATATGAAAAAAAATGGAATTTATGATCTTCAAATTTACTTTGGGATGGTTAATTTCTAATTCTTTCTAATGTATGGTATTTATTTGTGTTGAATATAGTGTTTCCACGTCATTCTTAAAATGCTAAACTAGAAAATTGACTTTGTATGGTGAAATGTAGTTTAAGTATGAGTTAGATCCAGAGAGAGAGAGAGAGAGAGAGATAGTAAGGTTGTAGTTGGAGTATTAGAAGTGCCATTACTTTCTCCAACACAAGTGTACTCTCATATTCAACAGCTCGTGAGTTATAAGATCAAGCCCTCGTGTCCCCCCTACGAGTAGGACAAATCTCACTCAATTTGTCGGTTATGATTAATCAAATCTTGTTATGTGTTTTGCACGTGCCTTAAATGTCCCATTCATAATTTTCATACCCTAATTATTTTCTCAAATTTGTCACACTATACTGTCAAATATCTACTTCAAACATTTGCATGTGTTCTCACGTTTTTTTAAATATTTTGCTAGATTCCACCGAAAAATTTATGTATTTTTATTACAAAGGCTTTGTTTCAGTGATTTGTCCAGTATTATTATATCTAATGTACCATTATAAATAAAACTGTTAGTTGTATTTTTATTTATTTTTATAAAAAAGATTCTTAGTTGTTTTTTCTCCCACTCACATGAACGCCTTAAATTGTCCCTACGACAAGATAGCACCAATCGGTAGATCAGTGGAAGGATGGAGCTTAGCTCTGCCACGCTAAGGTTTTTGAGATTCCAAAGCCATGACGTACAAGGAAAATGTTATAGAAATTTGACGTAATTTTGTTATTAGTTTTTTATAAGATCCAAAAATTATTTTAAACTATATAGTAATATTATTTTACGTATTTGTAATACATAATTTATAGTCATATCATAGAAATATGTGGGTATCACGTTACTGAATGCGGTTATAATAATGGGAGAAATGAAAATGATGATGAAAAAGTGTTTGCGCAGTTATTTTTAATGATGAAAAAAATAGAGGAGCATAGCATATATATGTGCACTGCGACACTGCTATCGTATAAGCTGCTGTAATGTAAAGTAAGGTGCAGTTAGAAAAGGCAATGAAAATAGCAGACACGTAGAACACAGGGGAAAAAACGAAAAACCAACAGACAGTGACATAAAGCAGCTGAAATTACAGGCTATTTAATGCCGTGGCATAAGAAACCGGTGGGTGGCTGTGTGTGTTGTGCCAGCAATGCGCAGTGGGGAAGAAGTACTACACTGCAATCACTAAACTCACCTACCAAAATAAGGACGGGGATAATTCAGAGAACCGTGCTATGAATGAAACTCTGAAAAAGTTCAATTAATCAAAAGAAAAAGCTTATTTGCGTCATGTAAGCTTTGCCAAAGACCTATGATATCAGTTTGACGTAAAAGAAATGGGTTTGGACTGCCTTCTTTTATCAACATTTTTTGCTATATTTTTCCATTCTCTTTCTCTGTGTGTAATACAGAGTAGGTCGTCAAAGTTGGAATTTCTGAATGTGATGCTAACGGTATATCCATTTCTTGTATTAATTGTTTCACGTATGGTCGTGTAAATATTTTACATGTAAGAATCTATAATGGTTAATAACTTTTATAATATTATTTCCATTTTTATCGTGAACTTTTATCTGACATTTATCTGAGTCCTTTCTAAGGATTGGAAGACTTGAAGAGAGAAGTCTAATATTTGATGATGAATGTTCTATATTCACACATTTCAACTATTACGTTTTACCAAAACTGTATAAAATCAACATAAATATTCTGTATGGTGTGTATGAATTAATGTTGAAAGAATCTCGAAGTAGGTGAAAACATATCAAATGTTTGTTTTATAGAATGAAATTGATACAATATGTTGGAAGTTAATTTGGACTAATATTTTTTTAAATAAAAAAATGTGGAGAAAGTAATAAAACAAATTCAAACTTGATTTGGGAGCTTTTAGCCTGGATTGCATGATAGTACTTTGTTTCAAAATTTATCTTGAAATGAAAAAAGTGATTGATCACGAGCCAAGTCGTGGTGCTCCCACTCCGCGAATCACGCAGCCATTTTGGGAATTAACAGTCACATGGAACTGTAATCACCATTTACCAAAACATGTCCCAGAAAAGAAACGGTAATTATAAAAAAAAACTCCAAAAATCATGTCACCATTCGGAAAAAATGTCTCACACCACTTTCACCAGTCCAAGTTAGCAAAATCAGAACCGGAAACACAAGAGAGGGAAACTCTACCATGTCATTTTTATTAACTGCTATTCACTCCGACAACAACAGATAAAAAAAAAACCTTCAGGACCTTTTTAAATCATGGCCTAATCTTGATACAAGTCAAAGCGTAAAAATATTAAAAAAAAAGACGCCGTTAGCGAGAGTCTTACGGCGGCACCTTGCAGGGACTAGGTGGCAGACTAGTCTTCCCGGTAGCAACAAGACGTTGCACGAAGCTCTCGATTCTGTTTGCGTTAGTTTCTTGCAGTAATCGTTTTCCACCAAACGGTAACGATTCCAGCACTCTCTCGTTCAGCACCTTCTCTTCTTTTCCTTCTCCCAAACCAAACGCCTGCATTATCAGACGCCGTTAATTAACTCCGTTATACACAATGGAAAGAAAAATGGTTGCATTTCTATTTTATTAGGATGAGGAAGTTGAGTTCAGTTCACTGAGACCGAGGCTATTAACTGAATCGAATTTCAATTAAAGATAGCATTAATGGCGTACCTGAATCCTGACATAATCTGTACGGTTCCAACAGAAGGCGTTCCCTAACATCTGGTCAACCGTTTCGGAAACACCGTCAAGCGCAATGTCAACCACCGTCGACGTGGAGCACTCACCGGCGGTGTTTATTCTCTTAGCCGGCGCTCCGTTTCCGATCGAGAGCACGAGGAGATCCTCCACGCCGTTCACCGACGGGAAGTCGCGCTTATTGTGGAGGACGTGCGTGACGGCCGCTGCCGCCGGGTTATTCATCACCAGGCCGCCGTCAACGGCGGCGCACGAGGTCTTACCGTCGACAGAGGCGAAATGGAATGGCGCGAAGAGGTCTGGCGTGGCTGAAGTGGCTCGGCACGCCTTCCAAAGGTCGAAGTTGAAACTCGGTGACTCGGATGCGTCGGCTCGGGAGAACACAAATGGCGCAGAACTCTTGAGGTCAAAGCAAGGGATGAGCAGAGGCTTACACGTGTCCTTTATAGTCAACAGCCGTCGTTCTTCCTCTTTTCTTTGGAAAACCCGCTTCAGCGCGTTTTCCATGCTCCGCGCTGAGAATCGGCGGCGGCGGCGGAACACGCCGGAGCGCTTCGGCTTGAACAGTTCGCTATTGCTCTCGGCGACGAAGTGGACAGCCTCACGGGCAGTGTAGAGAGGCCGGCCGAAGCCGTCGTCGGCGGTAATCATGGCGGCGAGGATGGCGCCAATGCCGGTTCCGGCGATGATGTCGAAATAATCAGCGATTTGCGCGTGGGGATCGCTGGTTTGGGCTCGGATCTGGTCCTCGAGATGGATGAGGGCTGCGCCGGAGACAATGGCGGTGGTTCCTCCGCCGTCGATACTGAGAATGCGGGTTTTGGATGTGGCTTCGTAGTGGGAAAGCCATTGCTGCTCGAGTTTGGAGAAGATCTCGAGTGTTACTTTGCTAAGCTCCATTGCGTTGAGTGTTATGGTGGTGGTGTTGGGTGCTTGAGTGCGGTAGAAGCAGAGGGAGGGAGTGAAAGGTGCTTTTGGCAATGAGGTAGTTATAATGGTTCTACATACGCGGTCCTTCTTCGTCCTTGTCGTTGATCTTTTTCTTCCTCTTCTTTTTTTTATTAGTGCGTCTATATTTATTTATTTATCATAGCCTTTTGTTTTTCTTGTGAATATTTAATTCATAAATTAAGAATTATTTATTTCACTCCACATCCTCTAGTCACTACTCTACACTACCCGTGTTGCCACTAACATCAGTTCACTATTGCTGCAGAGTGCGTGGTGAGAGTCTTACGTGTTAGACGTGTGTCTGCACGTGCAAGTGGGGTGTTATTTTGCGGGAAGCGCTTAACTCGCCATATCAGTCGCTTCTCTGCTACCTAATATATGTTTAAGGTTGGTCATATTGTTACTCTTGTTTTTTTTTTATAAATTCCTGTTTTGGAGTGAGTTCGTTTGAGTTTCCTTTTAAATTTTAATTATAATTGCCAGCTTTTTCTGTATTGCACACCATTGGGATGTGGAAGATCATCTCAGAATCTTCTGTGACGTTTCCTGAGCCTAGAATAAATCCAGTGTTTTTCCTCCTAAACTTTTACGCAGCTTCTACTAATATAGTACCTGTTTATTTTTGTGATAGCATAATATTGTAAAGTTTTATCTGAATTAACCGTTCACAGTTAAAAAAGAAACACGAAACAAACGTGTGTCGCTAAACTCAAACTATTTTATTCCTTTTTATCACCTGACTGGAAAAGGACGTGCAAAAAATAGGTTATTTGATGTGTATTTTTGCATAAAAATAATGGTTTACCTCAATTTATGTACTTTTGCTGCACTTCAAAGCACAAGACTGGAATTTCCTATTTTCTTTTTTTATCTAAATTAGTACGTTTTTCTTGTTACATTTTTGAAATTTGAATATCATGGATCGAACTACTATTCTTTCGAAAGAGATATTTTTGTGACTGTACGGCCAGAAAACATAATCGAAGAATCGGTTTGTAGAAATCTATAAATATAGATGTTTGTGTATATAATTAAATAGGACTTAAAGACATATCTTTTTGATTGATATCTTATCTCTGAACATCCTGCTCTTGGTTTTTCGCTCTCAAGATGAGTGGATGATATCTTTCCGTAGTTTTCTTCTTCGTCCTCTGCTATTTCAATATTCTATTATGAGATTTTCAGGTCTAAATCGAGTGGGGTTACCGGTTAAAAGTATTTTAATGTTCAAGTCAGATTTTTATCAATAAATTTATTTTACAATTAAGTATTAAAGCTCAATTAAAAACTTTTTTACATTTACGATTGAGTCTTTTATTTATAAGTTATTTCATAGATCCTAAATTCACATAGGTCCAATAAAAAGAACTTATTTTCAAATTCGGTTTGTTACTCATAAACAACTTCTTTATCTTGCAAATCAGTTATCGATATCTTTAATCATTCTCTTATTAATTTATTAATTGTTTATTTGCCCAAACAATTAGCCCAATAACAACATCTTGAACGCTGACCCAATTATGGTCCAACATAAATAACTTAAGCACTGACCCAACATCAATAACTTAAGTGCGGCTTGACCGTTGACACAAGGTGCAGACGGTTACGAATGTTAACCATTCGGCCTATCCTCTATACCGTATAATAGGTAAGAAGTAAAAATATAAGTGATTGTATATAATACATTATTAATATTTGAGTAGTCAAATCTTTATTAAATTTGACATCAAAGTATTTTTTCTCTTAACTCGACAAACAAACGGAACCCACGAATGACATGATCAAATATTAACTTAAAGACTTAAAATTAGACATTGCACTTAAATCGTTGACATCGATCCATACCCAACATAAATTTAGTTTATAGATAAAGATAAATTAGAGGAATTGTTAATTGTTTTATCATACATAAATAAGTTAAACACTTTGAAAATAATAAGGAATTTGAAAAAATACATTACTTTATCACACCTCTCATCCCTATAACAGTGCAAACTCGATTTTGTTCTCTATAATTTTAAGGGCTTCGATTTAGTTCATTAGTTTTTAAAATGAGCAATTTTGAACACCAAGCCTGCACTTTTGAAAATAGGAAATTTCACTTTGATTGGTACCTTATCATTTTTCTTAATGATTTCCATCATACAACTATCCAAACGTTGGTAATGATTTTACCTGTCTTTTTAACTAATTTGTGAGATGACTTTTTATGATTTTACTTTCTTTTTTATGGTGTATCATAATTTATTTAATATTAGGTCGCAACATTCAAATAATTAATGGTGTTTAATTCTGACTTATTTCAATTAATGCGTATCTAAGGATGGTTAATGAAGAGACTGATATTCCAAAAAGAGGACATAGAACCCCTGAGAATTACACTACACATGTGGGCACTGAAGCAAGTTGAGTTGAATATATAAGACGGAGTCCAAAGGGGGTGAGTTGGATAAAAAAGGCTAAAAAAATTATCAGTTTTTAGTTAAAAAATAAACTAAGCAAACTATTCTCTGAAATTAAATGATTTCTTTCGTGAATTAGTTAGTAAAGATATTGATACCAAGATACAAACACGAATAAGATACTTTTTGTCATTTTATCCCAATCTTCAACCAGTTAGTCAATTAGACCATGAGGGTGTTTAAAAGGAAAAATTAAGCAACAATTTTAATATATTAATTTGTTCAAACTTAATATACATTTAACTCCTTAAACAAACTAAGTTTGAATTTCCACTTATCTAACAAATTTTGATAAAAAATACTTGTTCACTCGCAAATGAAACCCACAAGAGTTATGTCGATTCTTACCCATTACAAAACCTCGCAGTACACTTTAAAAACAACTATATCACTTATATTAGAAATTTAAGGAAACATATCACCTTGTAGAAGTTCAACAATTTTGACATCTATCCTTGTTTTTTAGACTTTCAGGCTTTGTTCACTTGAATAAATTTGGAAGAGAGTGATTGAATGAATATGAAAGGATTTGAAAGTAAATTTTTTGTTGTTTATTTGAGTGGATTTTGTAAGTAAGTGAGAGTAGATTTGGAAGTAAAGTTTGTAAGAATTAGAGTAAAATTTAATTGATGTGACAGATTAAAAAAATTTACTTCCAAATTCACTCTCACTTACCTCAAAAAATTTCACTCAAATAATCAACAAAAAAATTTTACTTTCAAATCCTCTCAAATTCATTCAATCACTCACCCCCAAATCCATTCAAATGAACAAAGTGTTAATGTTCCATGAGAGACGCACTTAATCTTTGTTTATTGATTTAATCTTAGTGATATATGCGAAGAGTTTTTTATTTATAACTCAAAAAATTAATAATAGATTATTTTAGCTTGATAATCTATTATTTTGTTGAACTCGTCTCAGTAGGAAAATATAATGAGCTGATAGCCTATTACATTTCTCTTTAACCATTCTGGGCTAGACTTCTCTGTCAATCACCAAGGCGGGCTTTGGCCCAAACACCTACTAAAGAATCACACACGTGACACACCGGAAGATGGTGAAGAAAGGAAGATCTGAGGGCAGCGCTTCAATGGAAAACGATAACTTCTCATATTTTATTATAAATTTACAAGGATTAAATTAGAATATGATTTTAGGGAGTTCAGAAAGTAAAACTGGGCGTGCAGAAAGAAAATCCCTATCCAAGGTTTCATTTAATTGGGCCTCAGCTTATAAAAATCACATAGTAAAACAGTGCATGAATTTTTGTTTAAGATAATATTTGCATACAAGTAATGTATACATAATACTATGTTAATTTGTATTATACTCGACAAAGTAGTTTCGTGTGTATGGCAAGAATATTTTATATTTGAATACAGTTTAAAGCTATGCTTTATCAAGTCGTAATATTTATGGAAACTGAAAACATTTTTAATCAGTGATTCGGATTATTGTTAGCATTCGCTATTAGTTATTGCCTTTTTTCAACTCTCGTGTATTATTTTACAAAATCATTTATTTTGGTGTTTAGTATTAGTAAAAAGTTTATTTTATCACAGTGTCAGTGAAAGAATGAAGAGAAAATAAATAAAAGTGACTAAATTTAATTTATAGTTATTGTTTTTGTTTGGTAAAGAGAGGAACTAAATACTGATGTAGAAAGTCTGGAAATAAAATGGTTGACTATTATGATTTTGAGGACGAGTTTTGAATTTTTTTTTTGTCTCATATGATTCACCTTTATGTTTTTACGAAAGATGTTTTTGACCACTCAAATTATTTATATTCAATTGATAATATCTTTCTCTATTTTTTACTTTATTTTTTTAAAAAAAATATATAAAAATTTATACTTTATAATCATTTTATTCTTAAGTTTTGTGTCAAATGAATGTAAAAGTGTATCATGATATCATTATAGTAATTTTATATGGTAAACTATTTATCAAAATAAAAAATATATCTTTTTATCTAATTATCATAATGTATTTCTTATTTACTATGTTTAATATTAGGAGATTATATTTGAATTCTTTTAAATATAATAGTTTTTTTCTTGAATTCCTTTTAAAGGTATTCTTTTAGTGATATGTTTTCTTAATATATCACTTGGCAAACGTTTTTTTCTTTACGATTCTCTTTATATATACTCCGTCAAGAGGAGTGCTTATATCACACTTCTCCAAACATTTAATCTACTTATATTTGATAAAAAAAAATATTAAAAATTACAAAAGAGATTCGTAACTAGTCATAATTTATCACAAAATTAACACTAATAATATGAATTATGAGAGTGCAGATATGATATTCCACAAGGTAGGCTTTCAACATTTTATATCACGTCACACCCAAACAAGTTAAATTATGAAATTCTATCGAATAAAACCCGCCATACAGATTCAAAGAACTTGGGAAAAAGATTTAATATTTAGTTTTTCTAATCATGGTGACTTTCATGTTTTCTTAATACAATATTGAATAAATATTGAATTAAATATTGTAAAGGAGTTTTTAAAGTTTAATTTCTAGTGATATAAAAATCTACCAATAGATTATTATTTATAATGTTACTCCAACGTGGAACAATCAACGGATGCCAACTCCACATCAT